TATTGTTTCATATTTTTTATTCCATCAAGTTCCTTTCATACAAACTACACACCAGGCAACTGTGACTCCACATATACAAAGCGGGTTGTCTCCTAACCAGATGGTCCCTGGTCCGATTCCCAGCTCCTCTAGACAGCATTGTTCTTGGGCCCTGACGACTCTGTGACAGTGTGTGTTGGAAGCATAGTAGCGCTCTATAAAACTGTGAATGACCTCTACTTCGGAGTGATTTTGTTTATTATTGTTAAATATTAACTTTTAATATTTTCTCTGTCTTCTGCTGCATTAAAATCTGACCATCACTTCCTAAAGCAAAGAAAACTAGATGAAGTAAGTGCTACTAGTGTTGCTTTGTGATGCTCATTAACCTTAAACTACTAATTCAATTAAATAAAGTGTGAAACTAATTTATTCTGTGTTTTTCTGCTCCAGTTCAGGAACAATAAAGTGAGGGAGTGCGCTGATTCTGACTCCGACTGTGATGAGTATGACCAGGAAGATCGAGGCCTCATCCTCAGACAGGTAACAGCCGCCGTCACTTCTTGCTGCACAAACAGTTTCTCCATTGCAGAATGTAGTTTGACTAAACGTCTGCTTCTCTGTTCCTGCAGAATTTAGCTGTTGTCCTCGTGAAGTTTATTACAACAGGAGCTAAAGGTCATCTGCTAAGAGTGTCTTTACGCACCCTGAGGATCCTGTCCAGGGACAAAAAGGTCTTGGGCCCCTTGGTGACCGACAATGCTCTGCTGACTCTGGCCAAACTAGCCGGGCTGACCACAAGCGATGCCAGCGATGAAGCCTGCGACCCCGACACCAATTTTTACGACAACATCCTCGCTTCCCTCGCTGAGGCCAAAGTCTTGCGCAGCCGCATCGAGGAGGACGAAGGCGACGCCGAGGCCAACGACCAGAGCGAAGAGTGCTCTGCCGTCGACGAGGACGCCAAGAGTGACGTCAGCATCACCAACAGCGGGGACGTGGACAGCATCAGCTGGATGGGGAGCCACAGGACCAGCATCAACGAGATGCACCAAGGCAGCATCCATCACAAGGTGCTGGTGCGAGGCAGGAGGGACCGCAGAGAGAGCAAGATGGAGGGGACAGAAGAGGAGGAGGACGGGGAGTTGGGAGAGGAGGCTCTGAGGAAAGAGGCCATGAAGGTGCTGTGTAACGTGGTGTACAACAGCACCTGGGCACAGGAGAGGTTCAGTGCTCTCAGGTGGGCTCACACACGCATGCACGCTATTTTGTCCAACATAACACACTCCCTCTGAATCACTGTGCTAAATGTATTAATTCAACCTTTAATTTAACTCGCGAATACATTAAAACCTCAATCACCCGTTCTGGACTTGCACCTAAGTATGTTTTAGATGTTTTGACACCATATCACCCGTCACCATGTCGGCTGAGGACCACAGGTGACCTCCCACTCTTTAGAACGGTCTCCCTGAGGATATACATCGGGAAACTCCCCTCTCCTCTTTTAAATCTCTCTTGAAGACACATTTTTATAGTTATACTTTCTACTAGTTCAGATCTTACTGAGTATTTCAATCATTTTAAGATTGTTTTTACTCACTTCTCATCTGTTACATTTTTTTGCTCTACCGCTGTATGATCTTCAAATTGCAATTAAGTTGTTTCTTGGTGATTGATTTTTAACTGGTTCGCTTTTGTTTGCCAGTATCAAAAACTAGAACAAAAATAAAAATCTAAGGAATAAATAAGTTAACAAAATTGAATTTAAAGCAAATTAATGAACTAAAACAAGAACAGCTGGAGGAAAAATAAGGTGAGATTAATAACCCTAAATTGGATAAAGATGAGTTGAGCTTTAGATCTTAAATCAAACCCCATCAATCATCCATTCTGACCCCAAGTTTTGATGTGAAACCTTCTGAACCTGAGAAACTTCTTTCTCTTCACCAGCTGCACTCACAAGGCTAGAAAATATTTGTAAAAGTCCATCAAGTCCGTGCCCGTGCCTGTCTGAGTTTATCCTATGGCTATAAATTGACCGTACAGGCTTTGACACATGTGTGTACATCTCCTCAGAGATAATCTAACATATCCCTTCATATGTCTTTTGTACAAATCAACATATTTCTGAACATCTGACCTCCTGGTGTTTTTCCCCCGTCAGCCTCCTCGGTGGTCTCATGGAGCGTCTATCCACCAGCGTCAGCTCCTCATCTCCCTCCAGTGTTCAGTTCTACGAACTACGCCTCATGTTCCTCATCACTGCTCTGCGGCCTGAGCTCAGAACTCAGCTCCAGCAGGTAACGAAACCATAAAGCTGGCAGATCATTCCACAGTAACAATCCCCCCCACCGTCACTTTATTCCAATATTGACAAGAACCTCGTCCTGCTCTCACACTCATCTTTATTTGACTCCTCCAGCAGGGCGGGGTGCCCGTCCTCACAGCGGCCCTGGAGAGCTGCCTGGAGGTGCAGTGGAAGGAGCAGTACGAGTGTGTGCTGCAGCCAGCGGCAAATCCAATCTCTCTGGAAGCCTCCCAGCGTGTCATAGAGATACTGAAAATCCTCTTTAACATCACCTACAGCACCCACAGACAGGAGCCCAGCGAGGTCAGTGCATAAGAGGGGTGTGATAAACCTGTCGGGTGTGATAGAAATAAGTAGAAGGAGAAAGAGGAAAGAGTCTGCATACATTTGGAACAACTCACATATTAGAAACCTTGGAATGATGTTTATTTATTTTACAACTAATCAATTTTACGTTTTTAGTCACTCCTGCCTCTCTCTGATGAGATACATGAAATTAACATGTACTTATGAAGACATTGGATAAAACTCTTCATCATATTAACATCGTCATCAACACTTTTCAAATGCACTTAAAGAGAGAAACGAGCTGCACCCTTTGTTTTCTCATTTCTCAGGATAACGCAGCTCTTTACCGACACCTGGTGGCCATCTTGCGTCTCTGCCTGATGAGGAAGTGCATGCTGTCGGACGACACTGATGAGCTGCAGGGGTGAGTGAGACCCAGAATGAAGGACAGAATGATATCAATGAATTTCATTTCTTCATTCATGCCTGTTTATATCTTCTCATCTTTATATTTATTATTTAACTTTATTTCAGTTTAAATGAACTGACCACCACTTTAATACCTCAGCCCAGGCCCAATAGTCCCCAAAAAGATCAATGAATTATTCCCAGGGAAAAAAGGGAAACACAATGTTAAAGGAGAGTGATAAAACATTCCTGGATCTGATCCAGATTAGCAATCAAATGAAATGGGTTCTCCCCTGATTTATATGATTTTGAAGTTCAGTGGTAATCCGTCCAGTAGTGTTTTGAGTAAAAACAAACAGACCTTCGTGAAGACATAACCTCCCTACATGCAGTAATTCTACCACTCACTGGAGTTTTGTGTTCACAAGTATTTAATAGTCAATCGTTATCATGTCTCTCTGCCACAGTCACACAGTGAACCTGTTGTCAGCGCTGCCCCTCCAGTGTCTCGACGTGTTGCTGATCGTCCCTCTGGAGCCTGACTCGGAGCAGTGCCTGGGGGTCAACATGGACTGCGTGCACATCCTGCTGACATTCATGGAGAGACGCCTAGAGTCGGTGAGGGCTTGTTTTACAGAGGGAGGGGCTGAGATGTTTGGGCACTTTCGAATTGGTTTGAGTTTTAAAGTTTAACATATTGACTTGTTTGATCCTCAGGGTGATAAAATCAAAGAGAAGCTGACACCGATCCTCAATCTGCTGACAGAGTGCTGCAGGGCCCACAGAGAAACACGCCACTACATCAGGAAACATGTAATAGCCTCCACTTATATTGCACATTTTCCTCCTCACAATATTTTCAGTATATGAACCCAGTATTCTTTTTTGTTTTTCAAATATCATACACATCTGGAATTATAATTTATCTCCATCATTAGGTCCTGCCTCCTCTGACGGATGTATCACACCGGCCAGAGGAAGGCTCCACAGTGAAGAATCGTCTGATCCGTCTTATGACTCACCTGGATACAGATCTCAAACACTGTGCTGCCGACCTCCTCTTTGTCCTCTGCAAGGAAAACGGTAGGACATGACCTCACCTCCTCTGCAGAAATGAGACACATTAATCTAACATGTTTAGACAGAAAGATAAAGGACAGTAGATTTGTTGTGATCTGGTTATAAAACTAAGTTACTGACATTAGTTACTACATTTCCTTTAAAACCACA